CTTGTAGGCTCCATGTTACTGCTTTCGCCATATCACCTTTGCCCATGCAGTTTCTCCGATCTTCGCCGCTTTCTTCCTACTCGCACTTTTGATCACCTCTGGTTTCGGTAGGCCCGGCCAAAGGTCCTCGTGATACGCCTCCAACAACCATTGACAGGTGGGCCTGGCTGCTTTTACTTTCCAACTATTGTTAACTGAACCATGTCCTTCGACGTGATGCAGTTGTCAATTGACAACAACCTGCATGAAGAAATTTTGAGAAAGGTGTTTAATTATTCAAAATTTTTGTTTTCCATATTTGAAATTCAAAATTTTCAGTGTGTTACACACACTTTAAGGTTTTAAATGTATTTTTGTTTGTTGCACATGGTGTTATTTGGATGTTGCAATAAGAATTTCGGATGTCGCACTATGTCATTTATAAATGTTGCACGTGGTTTTCGTGGTGTTATTTAGATATTGCAATAAATATTATCTGATGTTTCACTAGCTCATTTACAAATGTTGCACGTTGTATTCTTTGGATGTTTTAAAAAAATGTTGTGATGTTTCACCTGCTATAAATCATGTTGTATGTATGATGAAACAATGTTTCAATTAAGAATATAATTATATTTTTATTTGAAATATAGTGTTGTGAGATTTGATTGTAACGTTTTAATTTCATCAAATACAACTACGTAATTAGATTAAAGATCAATAATTAATTTAAAAGAAACTATGATTTTGGTTTAAATTGTGTACGGAGAGAGGAGAAAGAACTTGTGGAGCAAGAACTGTATGAATGTATGGTGGTCAATCATATATGGGGAGGCGGTACATATGTATGCATGCATCAGAGTGAGAGAGAGCCAACATGCACATATAAGGCAGCTACAGGAGAGCGCCCGATTTTCCATGATCTATTAGATCACTAGTACAGAACCTTAGCGCCTGACATGCCTAGAATTAGCTAACATGACTAGAATTAGCAGGCCGTCACAGATGAGGCCGAAAAAGCGCCCGATTGAGATATTGTCGCACAGACATGTTAGATGGGCATAAAAGTCAACCCCGTCATGGATGACACCTATCACTGATGGGCCTTAGTTTAGGTCATCCATGACGGGCGCCAACTTAGGGCCCGATTGAGAAATGTAATGTTATCTCAATCGGGCCTAAACTACGGCCCGTCACTGATAGGTGTCATCCGTGACGGGCCTGACTTTACTACCCATCTAACATATATGTATGCCTATATCTCAATCGGTAACAATTAGGCCCGTCACAGATGACTCATTCGTGACGGGCTCTGTACTTATGCCCAATTGAGATGACTTAGTTTTTTTTCCATTTTTCATATGAAATGTTTATATTTGTGAGTTGACCTGTGCAAAATAATTAACTGTAGTATAATAATTCATTTTATTAGTCAAAACAAATTTTTTGTAGTAAGTGATTTCAAATGGAAACATTGTCAACAACAAAGCTATATAACTTATCAAGATTTACAACTTTTATTTCGGTCATTTTTATATATAACTTTTTTTGAATAGTTTTAATTTGAATTTGAAAATATGACAACTTCAATCAATATTTTCAAATACTAAATGATTTCAAATAGAAAAATTATCAACAACAAAGTTGTATAACTTATCAAGATTTACAACTTTTATTTTGATCATTTTTCTATATAACATTTCTTATGAACAGTTTGAGTTTGAATTTGAAAATATGACAACTTCAAACAACATTTTCAAATAGTAAATGATTTCAACTAAAAGAAGTCAACAACAACAAAGTTGTATAACTCACAAAGATCTATAACTTTTATGTTTGTCATTTCATCATCCGACAAAGTGTTAGTAACATTGTTCACAAAATTTACATATCCGTGTTATAGTTTATAAAACCAGATAAGAGATATGTGAATTTTGGTAACGATATTACTATCACTTTGTCGGATGAAGAAATGACCAAAATAAAAGTTACAGAACTTGATGAGTTATACAACTTTGTTGATAATTTTTTCAGTTGAAATCATTTAGTATTTGAAAATGTTGTTTGAAGTTGTCATATTTTCAAATTCAAATTCAATCTGTTCACAAAAAATGTTATATATAAAAATGACAAAAATAAAAGTTATAGATCTTGATGAGTTATACAACTTTATTGTTGATGACTTTTTCAGTTGAAATCATTTAGTATTTGAAAATATTGTTTGAAGTTGTCATATTTTCAAATTCAAATTCAAACTGTTCAAAAAATGTTATATAGAAAAATGACAAAAATAAAAGTTATAGATCTTGATGAGTTATACAACTTGTGCTGTCGATGACTTTTTCAGTTGAAATCATTTAGTATTTGAAAATATTGTTTGAGGCTGTCATATTTTCAAATTCAAATTCAAACTGTTCAAAAAATATTATATAGAAAAATGATAAAAATAAAAGTTATAGATCTTGATGAGATATAAAACTTTGTTGTTGATGACTTTTTCAGTTGAAATCATTTAGTATTTGAAAATATTGTTTGAAGTTGTCATATTTTCAAATTCAAATTCAAACTGTTCAAAAATGTTATATAGAAAAATGACAAAAACAAAAGTTATAGATCTTGATAAGTTATACAACTTTGTTGTTGTTGACTTTTTCAGTTGAAATTATTTAGTATTTGAAAATATTGTTTGAAGTTATCATATTTTCATATTCAAATTCAAACTGTTCAAAAAAATGTTATATAGAAAAATGACAAAAATAAAAGTTATAGATCTTGATGAATTGTACAACTTTTTTGTTGATGACTTTTTCTGTTGAAATCATTTAGTATTTGAAAATATTGTTTGAAGTTGTCATATTTTCAAATTCAAATTGAAACTATTCAAAAAATATTATATGGGAGAAAGACCAAAGTAAAAGTTATAGATCTTGAGGAGATATACAACTTTGTTGTTGATAATTTTTTCATTTGAAATCATTTACTACCCAAAAAAATATTTAAATTTCTTATATTTTAGAATTCAAATTTTATATAGTTTAATCAAACTCGGATAGAAAAATGACCAAAATAAAATGGGACAATTGCTTATTTGGCCCCGTTTGAAAGGCTAACTACCAATTTGACCCTATTTTTTGTGGTTTTCTTATTTGACCCTATTTTTTAAAACTGATCACTTGGTCTGACCCTTTTTTCGCTACTCCGTTAAGCTTTCATTAAAAAACAAATAAAAAATATAATTATTATCCAAAATACCCTCCAGGAACCCTATCCAAAATAAACCCTATCTGGATGTCTCGTATCATAAATGCGAGTGGTAATGGCGGCGTATGAGGAAATAGCAGCGCCGACGCTGGAGGGAGGGAGCGGCGGCAGCACGACGTGGTGGGAGGGAGCAGCAGCGGCGACGGGATGGGATCTGCGCCGGCGGGGAGGGAGGGGATCCGCACCAGCTGAGCGGCGGCAGTGCCGGGGCGCGGAGGGATTTGTGGCGGCGGCGGCGGCACACGCGCGAAGCAGCTGCTTCATGCAGTCGATGGCCACGGCGGCTTAGCTGTTCCAGGCGACGGAGTAATGTCCCGACACCGGCGACCATGCAAGCCAAGCTCCTCCACCTGCTCTCCATCCATGCGGCGACTGTGCTGGTGCCGACGGTGGCCTCTCTTCCTCGCATTGGCGACGGTGCATCAGCGGCGAGCCAGTGACGATGAGATTTGAGGAGGTGGTGACAGGAACGGTGTCGGCACCCCTGCGCCTCTATGGCCAGTGGCTTCCACCTCTCCGGGCATCGGCCGGCGGTGGTGCGACGCACTCCAGGGCCGCAGGCTAGCTAGCTCTTAGTTTTTTCTTCAGTATATGTAATTTGTGATGGATAATATATGCTGCCAAAATTTAGTTAAACTTCAGTTGTAGTTTTATCGATTCTTCGTCAAATTTTTGTGTCACAAATATGTTAAAATGTTATTTTTAAACAACTAAGTGTATGAAATTAGACCGAATAGAAAACAAATCACGGTCAAATACGCAAGGGCATAAATGTCTTTTTAGCCATAAGTTAACACTGTTACGTTGGATTGACAGAATAGGGTCAGGCCTGATGTTTGTTTTTGAAAAGCAGGGTAAAATAAGCTAAGTTAAAAAAAACAGGGTCAATTTAGTAGTTGGCTTTCAAAACAGAGTCAAATATGCAATTGCCCTAAATAAAATTGGTAGATCTCAATTAGTTCTACAACTTTGTTTTTTACAACTTTTTCAGATGAGTTCATCTAGTACCATAAAATTCAATTTGAAATTCATTTTTGCCTAGAAGTCTGATTTACCCTACTCGTGATAATACTTGCTAAATATATATTTGATGCAATTAACTCGGTTTTGCTGGTGAAATATATGATCAAAATGGATGTTATATGAATGTGGTTGTATTAAATATATTGATAGTTAGGTATATGAATAAATGTATATGAATAGGGAATGCTAGGGTGTGACATCCTTGCCCAGGGCTTAATAGGATTAATAGAATACTCATGCCAACAAGTTACAATTTCTTTTTCGGAATCCAATCTTAAAAAAAAACTATGAGATTAAGCGTGCTTGGCCTAGAGCAATTTCGGAATGGGTGACCGACCGGAAAAATTCTTTCCGGGTGCTTAGAGATGAGAGTCATCCGTGACAGGCTATAGCTTAGGCCCATTAGAGATGAGAGTCATTCGTTCGTGATGGCCGGATGCCCGATTAAGATATTTTCTCACATTACTGATCTTTGCTTAGTGACGGGTGCCCTGTCCGAAAGAGATGATGCTTTAAACCCATTACAGATAACCGATCCCGTTTCTTTAGTGGACAGCGGATGCGGAGTTGTCTCAGAGAACTAAACAAGTCTAAAGTCAATGGATAACTCAGGACAAGCCGATATATGCTATACTCTCTTTTCCCATAAAAAATAGTATTTTTTAAAGAAAAATCTGAACAAATACACGTCAAAGATATTCATGAGATGGACACAAGGAGGCGGACAGGGCCAGCGGACTAGACAAGCACCTAGTGCAGACGGCTAATGCTTTACGCCTTTAGAAGTACTCGACCCTGTGCTGCAACTGCAAGCTGTCTCACTAACACACAAGTCTGACGCACAAACCGGAGGCACGCCGATATGTCCACAAGCAGCAGGCCGGAGGTCGGGCGGTGGAGCCTTGCCGGCGCCACAGCTCTCGTCACCGGTGGCAGCAAAGGAATCGGGTAATTAATTCGTCTTCCTTCGCCGAATCCAAGCTTTCCCATCGATCTGTTTTCAGAATTGAAGAGTGAAACAGATCTATCTCTTCAGATTGTGCTCTTAATTATCTAGCTCTTCAGCCAGTGTTAAATTGTTATTGATTCTAATTAACTTTTAACATCTAATTATACTATGAATAAGTTCACCAAGTCATCGAATCGTTGCTTCGGCGTATTAGTAGATGCTAGTTAAATCGATGGCAGCAGATTAACTGATTAAGCATGTATAAATGCATCATCCAGGCGCGCCATCGTGGAGGAACTGGCGAGCTTCGGCGCCACGGTGCACACGTGCGCCCGGAACGAGGCTACCCTGAACAGGTGTCTGGAGGAGTGGAGAGCCAAGAAGCTCGCCGTCACCGTCTCCGTCCGACGCGTAGGTGCGCGCTGACCCGGAGGCGATCGCCGGCAGGGTCGCCGCCATGTTCGGCGGCAAGCTTGACATCCTTGTACGTACGCACCAAAACATCGGCCTCCTAACCTACCCGGTTGAATTAATTTTCCATACAATGTGCTATCTTGTGGCTACTAGTGCTAGCAGGCAGATGACGACAAGGTGTACACGTGATTCCTAGTTGCAGATCTTGTGCTACCTTTTTCTTTTTGTTTTCTTCTTCGATATGGGATGAGTTTGGTTTGTTGGATTTTGGTTGATCCAGACTTGTTTGGTTTGCTATACTTGAGTAGGAGACTGGCTTGAACAGTTTCTAAGGGAGCACTTGGCCTAAGAAAAAAAATGGATTCCATTTGTGGTGAGCTATAGCTAGAGGCCCTAGCCCACCAAACTAATGACATGATAAGTGATTACTCCCTCCGTCCTAGAATATAGCAATCTAGGATCGGATGGGACGCATCATAGTAATACGAATCTGGACAGGGGGCTGTCCAGATTCATAGTACTAGAATACATCCCATCCGGTGCTAGGTTGTTATATTCTGAGACGGAGGGAGTAGCAATAAATATGTCGTCCCCTAGCCCAGACACCCACCCTCGACACCAGCAACTAGCTGTCGCCACCACCTCCACCCCCACCTCCGGCCAGCCAGTACCTCCAGACCTCTCTCCTGCCCAACTTCTCTCCACCCCGTAACATCTCAAACCTTCTCTCAGGTCTTGAATGTCGTCTTCCACCACAAGGTAAGCCACTCTTCCCCTCAGATCTAGATCTGGTTTCACACCTGGAAAGCCTAGCGCCTCCTCCACGTGATGAGCAAATCCAGAACCATCCCTAGCAGCGGTTCTACAAAACGTTCAAAGAAGTCTTGATTACTCCTGCTGAAAGCATCAATGCTCCACTGACCCCAGTCAGTTAGGTTTCAATTGCAGCCAGTGACTCTCTTCCTTTAGCTGCTGCCCCCCAAAGTTTGCTTGTGAGCAAGAGGTTATCTACCAGGCGAAGCAAATTGCCTCTCGCTAGTGATACGCCTAGAGTACTCAAGAGCGGAAGTGTAATCTCTACCTCGTCACATCCTCCATCTCAGTAGATTAAAAGATCCTCCCAAATTATCTCAGATCCCTAGTGGAAAGAAGTCAAAGCAAAACACTAGTGGAGAAGACAGCAATCCCTTAGTGCTCAAGCAGATCCACAGGACCAACACAAGCAAGGAAGAGCTCGTTTCTTTAAACATATGGAAGGAAAGTGTTTCAGATGCCTTGCTCCAGATCACAAAATTAAAGATTGCAGAGAGCCCTTCAAACGCTGGTTTTGTAGAGGGATTGGACATGAAGTCCTTAATTGCTCCAAGCGAAGAGTAGGGGACAAAGTTCACCTGCCACCTTGCTTGCTCCCCCCTCTTCTCCCAAATCCCTCTCAGTTCCCACCTCTCCCCCACCAACCTTCGGTCACCAAGAAGGCCCTGCCGGATTCTCGAGTGGCCGCCCCTCGTGGAACCCCGGTTGCGATGGATGAACTATTGGAAAGAAGGCTAGTGGCAGCCACGGTGACAGTGGCTGCAACTGACGAGGTCGAGAGGCTTCGGCAAAAGTTCTCGTGCTGCTCCTTCATTGCGTGGTGCTTGGACAACCACAGTGACTGCGTTGATGAGGCTACCTTCCTCACATTGGCTAGGCCTGCTGATAGGGACTTTATTCCGTGCACTCTACGGCTTGACCGCTCTTCTAGCTGTTCCTACCATCTCCGAGCTTGGGACTCACACCATGAGGGTCATCAGACCTTCTAGCTGTCACTACCGTGTGCGCCTATGCATTGAGGGGATCCCGATGCATGGTCACACTGAGGGGGTGACGGCGAAGCTTGTCGAGCCCAAGTGCTCCATCAACTTCATTGAGACTGAAGCGGATGCAAGAAGAAGCTTGGCTGGGCGTCTCCAATGTAGATGAAGAGCTGATCCCCATTGACATGCCATTCCTGGACATCGACCCGCTATGCAACCCACCATTGCCGAGACTGAAGGGGGATGGACCTACCCGGTCATCCTCCACCTAGACACCCTAGAAGACCTCCAACCCATGCTCTACAAGACCTATGAATGGACCTACGTGGTCTAGGACGATGCCTCTCGCACGCACTCGTGTCCACTTCCTATTCCATGCAGGCCGGAGCTGAGCGCGGTGAGGGGCCTGGAGGATGACCCAGATGGTGGCGGTGGGCGACCAAGACCATGCCACAGGAGACGCTCGTGCTCTCTCTAGGGCTATATCACTGGCTGCTCGAGCGGCAGAGTGCATAGGGGTGATGAGCACAGCTACTACAACCAGGAAAAATCATGGCAGGCAGAGAGCAAGGGAGCCATCGATCTCCATGGGTCACAATCGCCGATCCAAAGAGCACGGAGAGGTGAGACCTTCTCTTTATCCTACCTCACCATGACGCAGCTCTAAAACACTAGCTCTGCCTTCTCTCTCCCATCTGCTGGCTCCCCCCTACAAGCCTCGTTCTTCACGCCGCAGCAAGAGTCCCAATGACGGGTCACTAGCTCTTCTTATTCCAGTCTCCTTGCCCCCAACTGAGTTCTTTTTTCTCCATTAGGAAGTTCCAGCGAACTAGTTGGTTCATGATGATTCGATGCTGGTTGAGGCAAACCTACCCCAACTGAACTTCTCCGTGGATGGGAATGCTGATGACGAGGCATCGCCAACCTATGAACCAAGGCAGGAATCCATCCTGAGAGCCAGCACGATTGAAAAGGATATAGTTGGGGATATGGTGGCATCCCTCTTGACGCCAGTCTAGGTCCCACTACTCCCAAGTCTGTCGCTTGGACGCATCCGAGCCCATCGCCCAAAGGTGACCCTTAATTCTACTCAAAGGCACAGCGAAAGGGTTGAAAAGAAAAGAAAGAATGGATGTAAAATTGAAACCATAGCTCAAGAAATCCTTTCTAAGAAATTTGTTATCATGAATGAGAGTGACTCTTTTGATGAGAATGTCAAAAAAAACTTTATTTACAATGTTTCAAGAAGTCACTCACGTTGCGCAGATGGATGGCTGCAAACAGATCAAGGTCAAAGTTGCCAAGACGTAGACAATTGATCTGCCAGCATGAAGCTACTCTGCAACCAACCTAGTAGGCACCTAGATAAATAATGGACGGCAAACCCCCAGTGATCAAGTCAGGAGGTGTGATGCAAACCTCTAGGAACCTGGAATGTTTTTGGTGTATGATGTGTTATGTAGTTTTGATGCACCAACAAGGCTATAAGGCCTTCCCCGCTATGTTAAGAAGTGCACTATCTATGGATGTTGTTGCAAAGACCTTAAAGCTGTTATTCTTGTTCTAAGCATGTTTCACTTCTGTATCTTCACATGAGTACAGTTTTCTTCTCCCGCGCTATCTCCAACTGTGAATACTGCTAGAAGAAACCTAAGCTGCTCTTGCTCTTGAAACCTTTCCTTGTCTGTTTGTTCTCCCTTGTGCTATGCTTGGATGCTCTTAGTGGCCTTATTTTGTTTCCTAATGGCTTAACGACACTGCAAAATATTTAATTAGAATGTTAGGGGATTAAATGCACCGACCAAGAAGGAAGCTCTGAGACTCCTGATCAACCAACATTGTGCCTCGATTGTCTGTTTGTAGGAAACTAAAATTCAGGAGGTGAACACACCCTGCATTGTTCAATCTATGGGAAGTAGATTTCGGAATACTTTTGTTTTCCTTCCAGCCCAAGGAATAAGAGGAGGCATAATCCTTGCAGTTGATGAGAATTTCTTTCGGTTAACGGCTGTCACATTGGGAGTTTTCTCCCTCACTGCTACCATCACAATGAGAGAAGAACAAACATTTTGGCCAATCATAGCTGTTTATGGCCCACAAAGTGATGCAGAGAAACTCGCTTTTCTACAAGAGCTTGAGCACAACATGAGCATCGTTTTACCTTCTTGGTTAATAATTGGAGATTTTAATCCAATCTACAAAACCTATGACAAAAACAACTCGAGAATTGATTTGAGGATGATGCAAAGGTTTATATGGGCCATTGGTCATTTGCAAATAAAAGTGCTTACTCTCCAGGGAAGAATGTTCACTTGGGCAGGGACCTCAAGCAACCCAACTCAAATAAAATTTGACAGAGCTTTCTATTTCATGGATTGAGATATAAAATTTGACAGAGCTTTCTATTTCATGGATTGAGATTTGCCCTACGAGTTTGCTTGACTATTGCCCCTATCCAGCTCCTGTTCAGACCATGCTCCCCTCCTTTTGTAGGGCAGTGATGGATCCCCTAGGCCAAGCCATTTCTGTTTCGAGAGCTTTAGGTTAAGCTACCATTCCTTTCAAGAAATGGTCACAAGCTCCTGGGAAAGACCAATCAACTCCACAAACCCTTTAGCAATTCCTAACATGAAACTGAAACGTTTGGCACGAGATATAAGAAGATGGGTAGCGAAACAGGTAGGAGACATAATACTTCAACTGGCCATCACAAACGAGGTTATCTTCCAACTAGGTGTTGTCCAGAAATCATGAACCTTTTCTATCGAAGAACAAATTCTGCACAGTAGCTTGAAGCACAAAATTCTTGGGCTCAATAAAATCAAAATTCGACAGAGATCTAGACTAACTTGGATTAAAGAAGGAGACACAAATACAAAGCTATTCCACCTAAAAGAAAATGCAAGAAGAAGAAAGAACTTCATCTAGGTGTTGCAAACCCATCCAGGTGTTGCAAACCACTTCTGGAATAGCTTCTTCCAATCTAGAGAAAGTGGAAGAGCTGAACATTTCTTTCATCAAAGAGTTGGGCAAACCCACATAAGTCAATCAACTTTAAATTGGACCCAAATCAGCTTGCAATAGTTTGACCTTAATGACCAGGAAGAAGATATCACTCTAGCAGAGTTAGAGCAGGCGTTCAAATCTATCCAGGCACAGAAAGCTCCTGGACCTGATGGTTTTATTGGTAAATTCTTTGAAACTGCATCAAGCTTGACCTCCTAAAGGCAGTCCAATCTTTCATCAATCATAACCTAAACCAATTGGATGATCTGAATTATGCTCATATTTGCTTTATCCCGAAAAAAGAAGATGCTACTTCACCTAACCATTACAGGCCAATAAGTTAGTACACAGCTTTGCAAAGATTGTCTCTAAGATTCTGGCCAATGGACTCACTCCGACAATGCATGAGATGATTAACATCAATCAAAGAGCCTTCATAAGGAAAAGATCAATCCATGACAATTTCATGTATG